GAGAACGAAAACCGTCCCTTGGCGCCGCTGTTGTACTGCTCAAGTTCAGAGCTGAACACTCGGAACCTGTACAGCTTCTGACTCATCGGGTTGTCAGGGAAAATCGCCCCGACCTTCAGCGTTTGCCTCCGTTCTTCGTCGGCTGGTCGCTCACCAAACACCGAGCTTCGTTGCGACAACGACGGCAGGCTGAACACGGCTGAAACGCATAGCACGGCCGCAGTTAACGGCAAGACGAGTAACGGCTCGCCGGCACTTTTCATTCTTTTCATTGAGGTCCAGCTGAGGAACAGCTCGAAGTGCGACGACGTCTTGCCAATGACTCTTGGCCAGTGACGACTGCCGTAATCGCACTTGCAGATCAGTGAACTCTTCGTTTTGTAATTACATGGAAATTTCATTTAGTGCAGCCAGAGCAGTTTTTACTCCAGCCGAAACTGAAATGTAAATTAAGCACGTCTGTCGCACATCTGGGAATGAAGCTTTAATGAAATGCGAATTGACGAGATAGCACATTAAAATTATTGGTCGAGGAACGGAAACACATCGTTGACATCGCCTCGACGGGGTCAGAAACAAGTACTCATCGATTATGGAGGATTGAAAGACAACTGGCATCTAAGAACAGATTTTTCATAGTCATCCGGTCTGGAATTACATATCTCATATTGTGAAATGCAAAATTAGAACGAATCCAATCCGGCTTATGAGTAAGTCTGAGTAAGTTTCAGCTACGTTCCGATTTTATGAACAAAGTTTATTGAATCCGTAGGCAGCGATAGGTCACCATGCCTCAATTTTTGAACACAATTTTGCAAAATGGCGTCGGCACTATTCGTCAATGCAAAGAGATGATTTTGCTAATTCGCATGATGATTCTCAGGTGCTTGTTCCAGTGGTTCTCTGCATGGGTGTGAACTGAATTATTCGTTTGTGTTGAAAGACTAGTTTTCATATTTGAATTCAACAGTCACGTAGCGAGACGTAGGAAGGGGTGAAAAATTTTTACGATTCCGACACAAAAATATCTGGCTATCACTCTCAGTATGCGTCATAATCTCAGTATCGTCCTGTTGACTGCCATTTCTGATTGGTCGGTAGGCAACAGTCACAGGAAATCTGCTAGCGTCTCGGTCCTGTACCTGCTCCATGGATCGAACTCTCCGGCTCGACAACGCCAGATGTTTGATATAATCGGGCATTCTGATTTTCACCCTACTTTTCATGCACCTTTGGCAACAGAGTTCGCATTGCGAGTCTCTCTTCTGAGCCGAGTGACCTTGATTAATTTTTCAGCGCTTCTTTTCCGTCTCCATAAAACTGAGTTAAAGGTCTATAAACATATAAACGCAGTAGTTGTATGAAGTGAAGTTTCTATGAAATTTTATGAAATATTTCGTCAGAACCTTTC